CTGTGAGCACTGCAGGGAGAGGAGACGTTTCCCTGCTGTGCTGCCATGTCCCCTGGGGCTGGGGGCTGCCGGTGCTGAGGCTGACACTCCCCAGGCCTCATTGATGTGCACGTCCACCTCCGTGAGCCGGGTGGCACCCACAAGGAGGACTTCGCATCGGGCACGGCAGCCGCCCTGGCCGGGGGCATCACCATGGTGTGTGCCATGCCCAACACCAGCCCTGCAATCACCGACGCCGCCTCCTTCGCCCTGGCACAGAAAGTGAGGGGCTGCTGCTGGCCTGATGGTCACGTCCCCTCCCTAGGCACTGCCATGCCAGCCGTGGTCCCACTGCCTGCAGTGGGCTTGCTTGCCCCTGGTGGGACTGGCCCTGCCATGGTACCCACCACTTCACACCCCACAGCTGGCTGAGGCTGGGGCCCGCTGTGACTTCGCCCTCTTCCTGGGGGCTTCCTCGGAGAACGCTGGCGCGCTGGGCCCCCTGGCTGGGGCGGCTGCTGGGCTCAAGATGTACCTGAACGACACCTTCTCCAGCCTGCGGATGGACGATGTGTCGCTGTGGATGGAGGTCAGTGGGGGGGGAGGGGCTGGCGTGGGGCAGAGCCACTCCCAGTGCTGGTGCCCACCAGCCCCATTTCCCCCCAGCACCTGGAGCAGTGGCCGCAGCACCTGCCTGTCGTGGCACACGCGGAGCGGCAGACGGTGGCCGCCGTGCTGATGGTGGCCCAGCTGTACCAGCGCCCCGTCCACATCTGCCACGTGGCCCGCAGGGAGGAGGTGAGCTGGGAGTGGGGACAGTAGGCTCCAAGGTCGGGGTGTGGGGCCCTTTGTGTTCCCCCCGCTAACTGCAGCTCCCCCAGATCCTCCTAATCAAGGCGGCCAAGCAGAGGGGGATCCCAGTGACATGTGAGGTGGCCCCGCACCACCTCTTCCTGAGCCAGGATGACCTGGGGCGCCTCGGGGAGGGTCGGGCAGCTGTGCGGCCGGTGCTGGGCACCCGCCGGGATGTGGAGGCGCTCTGGGAGAACATGGACACCATCGACTGCTTCGCCACAGACCACGGTGAGCCCTGGGGGACAGTGGCTACGGGGCGGGGGCAAGGGGTGGGGAGAACCCCTGGTGACCAGCCTTGTCCTGCAGCCCCCCACACGCTGGAGGAGAAGCAGGGCCAGCAGCCGCCCCCTGGGTACCCTGGCCTGGAGACGATGCTGCCCCTGCTGCTGACGGCCGTCTCTGAGGGGCGGCTCAGCATGGAGGACATTGTCCAGCGCCTCTGCGAGAACCCACGCAAGATCTTTGGGCTGCCAGCGCAGGAGGACACCTATGTAGAGGTGGGTCCCTGCCCACCTGTCCCAGGTCTGGTCCTGGCCCCGCTGCCTCTGACCCAGTGTCCTGGCAGGTGGACCTGGAGCACGAGTGGGTCATCCCTGGCTGCACGGCCTTCTCCAAGGCCCGCTGGACCCCCTTTGAGGGCATGAAGGTGAAGGGGACGGTGCGGAGGGTGGTCCTGCGTGGGGAGGTTGCCTACATCGACGGGCAGGTAAGGGCCTGGGTCTGTTTTCCCCTGTGTTGTCAGGGTCCCCTAGCACTGAAGGGGTCCCCCAGCACCGACCCCATCACCCCCAACCCCATCACCTCCATGAATGCAGGTGCTGGTGCCCCCTGGCTATGGGCAAGACGTGAAGAAGTGGCCCTCAGGAGCTGTGGTGCCGCCACACGTGGCCCCTGCCAAGGACATTGTGAAGGTACTGGGAAGCGTGGGGCTGGTGGGGGTCCCCGTCCACCCTGGCTCCAGCTGGGTCTCTCGCTGCAGACCCCCGAGCAGCCCCGGCACAATGCAGCTGGTGAGACTCTGCGTGGACGAGCCCCCAGCCCGCGCCGGCCCGGCCCCGTGGGCGACGCGCGCTTCCACCCCCCACCCCGCATCCACCGGGCCTCCGACCCCGGGCTGCCAGGTAGGGGGGCGGCGGCGGGGGCTGCAGGCGTGGCGGGGGATGCAGCGGGTGCGCTACCTGGGGCCGGGTCTGGGGCCGCGGATGGGCGGCCCCGCTGACGCCGGCCCTTGTGTCCCGTTCAGCGTTCCAGAGGCTGGGAGCCGCGCACCGCCCGGGCGCCCGAGGCACCGGTAATGTTTGGGGGGGGACTCACTAATGGCACTAACTGCAGCCCATGAGTGCATCCCCTCCCCCAGGTGCCTTGTGGGCCCCGGGCTGCCCGCGCCACCTACCGTGGGCCCGTTCCTGCACCCGGTGCCGGGCGCCACGGGACAGGGCATGGCTGTGCCGCCTGCTCTGCTCCCGCCCTGGCCCACACAGCACCTCGGGGACCCCTCGCCTGCCAGTGTGATTGAGGGGTGGCCAATATGGGAATTGCAGGGTGCATGGGGAGAGGGGCGCAGCATGATGTGGGGCTTGACCTGCCTGTCCTTGGGTGGCCTTCACCCTGGCAGTGGGCCCTGACGTGGTTTGCCTGGTGCTGCCGAGTGCCAGGAGGGCTGTGCCGTACCAGCAGCACCCTGGGAGGACAGCAAGGCCCAGGGTGCCGCTGCTCCCCAGACCCCCTAACGGCACCACTCCCCTCTCCTGCCCAGCCGAGGATGCCCGTGAGAAGGCCAGCAGAAAGGCAGCGGACCTAGGTGAGTGCAGAGGGGATCTGGGGGTCCACAGTGGGGGTCCCAGGCCTGCAGCAGGTGGTTGGGCTCCTCTGGGCACCCCTGTGGGCTCACCAGCTGCTCTTGGTGCCCTAGATGCAGCGGCGACCCAGGACAGCCACTTCAACCCACTGGGCCCCCTGCCACGCCAGGCCTCTCCCCAGCGCTCCCCCCACTTCCAGACCTCCCCACTGCTGAACCCCCTCGTCGGGCAGCACGTTCTCTCTGTCAGACAGTTCTCCAAGGACCAGGTGCCTGGGTGGGTGGGCACGGGGACCAGGGGCCCATGGGGGCTGCGGCGCCTTCTGCACCCTGGCGGTGCCTTCTGCACCCTGCGCCCCCTGAGCCACCTGTCCCCACAGCTGTCCCACCTGTTCAATGTGGCCCACGTCCTGCGCATGCTGGTGCAGAAGGAGCGGAGCATTGACATCCTCAAGGTGAGCCGTGCACCTGGCCCCCAGGCAGCCAAAGGGAGCCCTGTCCCAGATGGGGGTGTCCCGGGCTGGGCTCCCCTAGGTAACAGCACGGCCCCTGCAGGGGAAGGTGATGGCGACCATGTTCTATGAAGCAAGCACAAGGACCAGCAGCTCCTTCGCAGCAGCCATGAGCCGGCTGGGTGGCTCCGTCCTGTCCTTCTCCGAGGCCACTTCCTCGGTGCAGAAGGGCGAGTCACTGGCCGACTCTGTGCAGACCATGTGCTGCTACGCCGACGTGCTGGTGCTGCGGCACCCGCAGCCTGGCGCTGTCGAGGTAAGAGGGGCTGGGAGGGCTGGGGTGACCGCATCCTGTCCTGGAGGTGCTGGGGGCTCTGCCCTGATGTGAGGACAGTGACCTGCACTATGGGGCAGGGACACGGTCTCCAGCTGGGCAGGGTTCAGGTCCTGCCACCGTGGGGCTGGTAGGGCCTGACCTCAACCCTGCCTGCCCTCAACTCTGCCTGCCTTCACCCCTGCCTGCCCTGCCCGTGGTCCCAGCTGGCTGCCAGGCACTGCCGCAAGCCGGTGATCAACGCCGGGGATGGGGTGGGGGAACACCCCACACAGGCGCTGCTGGACATCTTCACCATCCGTGAGGAGCTGGGCACCGTCAATGGCATGACGGTAAGGTGTTGGGGCTGGGGGGCCAGGGCCCATCTGGGCCCTGGGGTGGCCGTGGCTAGGCTGACCTGACTGCTCTCCCCAGATCACCATGGTGGGTGACCTGAAGCACGGGCGCACAGTGCACTCCCTGGCCCGCCTGCTCACCCTGTACCGCATCAACCTGCGCTACGTGACCCCCCCCGGCCTCCGCATGCCTCCTGACATCACCAGCTTTGTGGCCTCCAGGGGCATCAAGCAGGTGAGGAGTGGGATGGGGGGCTGGCCCCGTCAGCCCTGTGCCCCCCACCCCGCTGACAGTGCCGCCGCAGGAGGAGTTTGAGAGCATTGAGGAGGCGCTGCCAGACACAGACGTGCTCTACATGACCCGCATCCAGAAGGAACGCTTCGAACGGGCTGAGGAGTACGAGGCTGTGAGTGAGGGGACACCGGGTCCTGCTGCCCTTGGGGGGTGTGGGGGTTCCTCGCCTGAGGGCTCTGTGTGTCCCCTCTCAGTGCTTTGGGCAGTTCATCCTCACGCCCCACATCATGACCCGTGCCAAGGAGAGGATGGTGGTGATGCACCCCCTGCCCCGTGTCAACGAGATCAGGTGGAGGGGGGGAGCAGGGGCAGGGGGGCTGCAGGGTACTGGGTGGTGGGGGGCTCAGGGTTAGTGTCTGGGGGAATGGGCTATGTAATATTCTGGGCATGAGTGGGGTGTCTCAGGGCATGGGGATTGTGGGGGTCTCTGGGGGATCTGGGTCTCTGGTGTTGCAGGGTCAGGGGTCTGGGGGCTGCAGTGTGCTGAGCAGAGTAGGGAGTCTTAGGGTGATGGGGGCTGTGGTTGCTTGGTGGGTGTGGAGGGAGACAGGGTCTGTGGTGTGCGGTGGGTCAGTGGTCCCGGTAGGGTGAGGGATCAAGGTGGATCAGGGGTCCCCGGGGGGCGTCCGGGCTCCCGGTGGTGTGTGGGGTCCCGGTGTTGTCAGGGTCCCCGGTGGATCAGGGGTCCCGGGGGGTGAGGGGTCCCAGGGTGGCTCGGAGGTCCCGTTGGTATCAGGGGTTCCGGGGTGGGCGAGGGATCCCGGTGGGGTCAGGGGTTCCGGGGTGGCCCGGGGGTCCCGGGGGGAGTCAGTGTTCCGGGGGTCCCGGGGCGGTGCCCGCTGATGCCGTCGCTCCGCAGCGTGGAGGTGGACTCGGACCCGCGCGCCGCGTATTTCCGCCAGGCGGAGAACGGGATGTACATTCGGATGGCGCTGGTGGCCACCGTGCTGGGCCGATACTGACCAATAAACGCTCCCGGTCGCGACACGACATCGCGCCGCCACTGTCGTCATCGCGCCGCGACACGCGGGCCATGGCGGCGCTGTGGAGGGGCTGCGGGCGGCTGCTGGCGCGGCGCCCCGGGGCGGCACAGGCGCTCACGGCCGGTAAGGGACGGGCCCGGCCCGGCGCCCCGGAGCAGCGCCAGGAGCCCCCCGGCTCGCTGCCCACCCCCGGCACATGGCGGGTGCTGCCGCACCCCGCGCCCAGCCGAGAGAGCGGGGACCACGCCGGGCTCTAGGGGAGTTAATGGGGGCCTGAGGAGGGTCTTGCACGGTTCAAGGGCTCGCTCCGCTCATCCCCGGGCCCTGGGGAGAGGTTGCCGTGGGGGTTCTGCTCCCCCGGGAGGGGATGGGGTCTGGTTCTGGCTCTGGGGGTTCAGTGGGCTGCAGCCCCCGTGCAGGGGCACAGCACCCGCTGGGTGTGTGCCAGCGCTGGGGTGAAGGCACAGGTGCTGCCTGGGGAGGCTCCCAGGGCCCTGTCCTGAATTTCCATAACGGTGCTGCTTCTTGCGGGGCTGGGAAGTGCCATAAATCTGCCCCGGCACTGACCAGCAGCTCTGCTGCCCCAGGGACTCACAGCCCTCAGCACCAGGCACCTCTGCCCCCTGCCACCTACTCCCCTTCTTGTGCTCCCCGATCCACCCGGGGCTGGGACTGTGGCTGGGTGGTGGGAGAGCCCATCCTGCCTGTGCAGTGTGTGCAGCCCAGGAGGCTGGGAAAGCATAACCCCGAAGTCAGGGCCTTCCCTCGTGGTGCAGCCACTGGCTCTTGGCCCTGCTGCCCCCAGTGCCCCCCTGCCCAGCTGCTGGGGCTCTGCCAGGCCACCTCGCTGCTCCTGCTGTTACTTTTATGGGATGTGATGGAGTCTATTGCTGGGTACTGCTGGCCACACGTCCCCTGGTGCCTGGCGAGAGGCCATGGTGGAGCTGGGAGGGCTGCCCAGGGCCAGCCCTGCCCGTGCCCCCCTGGCCCCCACCCACTGCTGTGCAGGCTTGGTGTGGTCCTGGGCTGGCTCCAGCTCCAGCCCTGCTCTGCCTGTTGCTGCTTTGTGTCAGAGCTGGCCCTGCCATAGCCCAGTCCCTGAGGGCCCCACCAGCCTCCGGGGGCACAGGGCTGTGCCGTGGGGGGCACGGCTGCCCTGCGGGTGCTGGGCTGATGCTGGATGTGGTTCCCCTGGCCCAGAAGAGGCTCTACCCTTGGGCTGGGCTCTCCCTGCCTGTGGCAGGTTCCCAGGCCCAGCTGAGGGGGCACGGCCATTCCCTCCAGGCTGGGGCAGAACTGCTGGGGTCAAGTGTTCCTGCTCTCAGACCCCCGTTCATGGCTGAGCTTGGCCCCTCTCTGCTGGCTGTGCTGGGGTCCATGCAGCTCCTGTGCTCTGGGCCGGACACATTCCAGCTTCCATCCCTGCTTTCCCTTGCTGCTTCCAGAGCCCCTGTGCTGCCAGCTGGGGCTGGGCCAGGGAGCTGCTGGCAGTTGGCTGTGCCTGCTGCATCCAGCTGCGCTCACCACCTGAGCTGCTGTCCGAGGACCGTGGGGTTGGGCAGGGCTTTGCCTCCTGCATCCTGGGCCCCGGGCCAGGCTGCCGGCAGGGCCGAGCACAGTGGGCAGCAGCACGTGCCCACAGCCGTGACCTTGCTGTCCCTCCCTGCCTGTGGAGAGCAGCCCCACACTCCTGCTGTGGGGGTACAGACGGTGCCCTACTTAGGTTCAGACCCTGTCCAGAATCTTCTGATTGTGGGAGCAACGACCTGGAGGTCAGCTGGGCACCCTGGCTCTGGGCTTGGCCTGGCTGCAGGCTCCAGTCCCAGACAGCCGTGCCACCCTGGGTAAGCACTGGTGCCAAAGTTGTCGTGAGGGGCTGAATCCAGCTGCACCCTGGGCAGAGACAGGTCTGTTCCCCCAGCACAGCTTTGTCACTGCTGGGCACCATACCTGGAGCCTTCAGCGCTGGATGAGTAATGGTAGTGCCATGGCTGTGTGTATCGTGCCCCTGCACCCAGCTCCTGGGAGTGCTACCTGTGGGAGCAGCCAGCACTCCAGCTGTGCTGGCCTGGAATCCTGCTCCTGCTGCCACCCTCTCCCCTGTGCTGCTGCAGCCCATGGGCTGGCAGAGCTGCCCTGCCATCATGGGTGAGTGCAGAGAGCTCTGGGCCAGGGGACAGAGCCCCAAATCCTGGGGCTGATGCCAGGGTGGGAGATGGAGCCTGTGAGGTGGCAGCAGGAGGTGCCTGGGGGCTCCATGGGGCTGCAGAGTCCGGGCTTGCCCTGCCCACAGGCTCTGGGGGCCACATGGCACTGTGTTGGGATAGGGAGCTGGGCCCTGGTCCCCCATGAACTGCTCATGGAGCCCCTGGGATAGGGCTGGCCCTGAGTTGACCACGATAGGGGCTGCTGGGACAGGGGGTGCTGAGGCTGGTGCTCTGCAGGCCAAGGGCTTGCTGGGCTCAGGACGGAGCAGAGCAGCAGTGGGGCTGGAGACCTGCCTGGGAACTGTCCTGGGAGGAGCGGGGGGAGTGAACAGGAGCTGCCAGGGCCAGGGGGAGCAACACTGGGGCTGGGGGGCAGCTCCAGGCCAGCCAATGTGCGTCGAAGGGGTCAGGGGTGTCAAATGGAACAAGAGCTGCCAGAGGCCCAGCCAGGCAGCACCCCACGGGGGACACTGATCTGGAAACAGGGCCAGGAAGCCATGCCAGCAGCCGGCCACAGTGAGGGGCTGGGGCAGCCCGGGCAGTGGGGAGCACATCCCGTGTATCCTGGCTGCTGGCAGGGGCACAGGCAGAGAATGGGTCTCCAGAGAGGGATTGCAGTCGGGAGAGCCTGCCCAGTGCACAGGGAGAGGTTTGGGAGAGGCTCAGGAGAGACTGTGGTGGGGAGCACAGGCAGCAGCCGGGTGGACTGTCCTGAGAGCCCCAGGCACCGCAGGGCCTGGGTGATGGGTGTTAATCAGTCTTTCACAGCAGGTCAGCCCTGTGCCCGGGGCAGCAGGAGGAGGGGCAGCCGGGCACCCTTTTGGCCAGAGATGCTCAGCAGGGTTCAGTGCAGGCAGTGAGGGGCTGCAGCTGGGGTGGAGCTGGCAGGGCCAGAGCAGGCTCAGGTGTCCCAGGGCAGGGAAGCAGCAGTAGCACTGGGGGAGGGGGCCTGGCCGTGGGCAGGACATGTGGGGGATCTCGTCCACCTGAATGGGCTGTGCTGGTCGCAGGGGCCCTCATGGGAGCTGGGGATGTGATCGCACAGCAGCTGGTGGAGCGGCGGGGGCTGCATGGGCACCAGGGCACCCGCACCCTGAAAATGTTGGCCATTGGCTTCTGCTTTGTGGTGAGTGCCAGCGCGGTAGGATGGGATGGGATCAGGGGCTCTTTGCTGTGGTGCCCCCCAGTGTGAGCTGGGACATCTTGGTACCACCTCTGGCAGCTGTGGGCAGAGCTGGTTCCCTGGAGCACAGCAGCACAGCCCAGGGGAAGGCAGGACAAGTCCATCCCGGTGGTCTTGGGCCCATATAACCAGCTCTGGAGCCCACTTGGCTAGTGAGGGCAGGTGCTGCTCCTCACCTCCTGGCTCCTGCAGGGCCCTGTTGTGGGCAGCTGGTACAGGATCCTGGATCGGCTCATCCCGGGGAACACAAGAGTCGTGGCTGTGAAGAAGATGGTTCTGGACCAGGTTGGTGTGACGTGGGTGAGGGTGTCACATCGGGCTGGAGCAGCAAGATAGGGTGATGGGTGCAGCCATATTCCTGTGGCAAATTTCCATCTCATTCCATGAGTGTATGTGTGCCTGAGCTGAGCCAAGCCCCACCGTGGTGGAGGGTTGGGGTGGGCAGGGTCGCAGGGACTGCCCATGGCCAGCCCAGCTCCAAGTACCACAAACGCCTCGGCATCGGCCCCAGCTCCTTCTCTCGCAGGGGTGCTTCGCGCCGTGTTTCCTTGGCTGCTTCCTGGCCATCACAGGGGCCACAAACGGGCTGTCAGTGCAGGATAACTGGTCCAAGATCCAGCAGGTATGTGCTGCTGCCCTGGAGTGGATGGGGGGGCCTTGGGCAACTGGGGAGGCCCTGGCAGCTCCTCCCAGTGCACTGGCGCTGGCTGCTGCTCCCATTCGTGGCTGTTCCCACACCCAGGCTGTGGGTCTGAGGGCCCTGGGGGCATCAGGTGCCTGGTGCTGCCAGTTCTCCAGGTTCTGGCACCATGGCCTTTCCTGTGGTGTGGCACCAGGGTCCCACCTGTGCTGGGCACAGAGACCATGGGCTCCTGCATGCCGTCCGGCCCTGCTCCTGGCTGGCTCCCATTAGCACTGATTGTTGGAAACCAGTGCGAGTGCTGAGTCAGCGTGTCCAGCGTGAGTCACCGGGGAGCGGGTGCCACATGCCATGGGATGAGGTTCACTGGGATGGTCACCTGGCTGCCAGGGATGGCAGCACCAGCCTCATGCACCACTGCCAGGGCTGCATGTGAAGGGTCCCAGCCCAGCCAGACCCACTGGCCTGGGCTGCAGCTCTGCTACGGCCAGATGCCATGCTATTACCCGGAGCTCGTTCCTCGGTGAGGTGCCACCCCCAGGCACCAGCCCGCTGCCTGCTGGGCTGCCAGTGTGTGCCCCTCATCTCCCCCGGGGTGCAGGGAGCAGATCCTGGGGCAGGATTGTGTCATCTCTGCTTTCTCCAAGCTCTGCACGAGCCACAGCTAGGGTATGGGGTGCTCCAAGGCACCCCAGAGACACACGTGGAGAGGTCCTGACTGCAGGCAGCACCCCACGAGTTCTTGTCCATCCGCTCCTGATGCATCCTGACCAGCTGGTGCCATGGATCTTGCCTCACCTCCCCCAGAGCATCCTGCCGTGGTGGGTGATTCCCGCAGGCTGTAGCTCCCAGCTACCGTGGAGGGGGGGTTTTGGGCAATGGTGCTGGCAGCACCTTCACCCCTGGCTTGGGGCACATCCGCTTTTCCCCACGCAGAGGAAGCGTCAGCAGAGCATCCATCACCCTGTGCCTGCTCGCCCCGTCCTGGGCTGTCAGCCAGCACCAGGAGGAGCCCGGGCTCCTGGCTGAGTCACGACCAGGCTGGATGAGGGACTCGTCCTGCTGCCGTGGGGCCGGGATGCGGCACGGCCACGGCTGCAGCACGAGGACAGGAAGGACGGCACCTCGGGCTCCCAGGATGGATATCCTGGCTCAGTGCCCTTCCCCATCGCTGCCTCAGGATGCCTGGGAGGGGCCTGGGGGCGTGCGGGGCGGAACAGGGACTTACAGCCCACACTGGGGAGAGGAGCTGCCTGCCCTGGCTGTGGCACAGAGGGTTCTCAGTGGGGAGAGGGTGGTTGTGGCTGCCCTGTCCCCATCACCCCCGTGGGCACAGCTGTGGGAGACATGGACAGGGCTGTGGGGGCCCTGTGTGTGCCATAGTGGGGATGGGAGCCCTCTGCTTGCTCAGACCTCGTTTCTCTTGCAGGACTACACAGACGCCCTGATGACCAACTACTGTGTGAGTGCTGGCAGGTACCTGTGTCCCTACCCCATCCCCGAGGTGCCAGGCAAGGGTGGGCGCGGGGCACAGACGCTGGCAGGGCCCCTCACTGCTCTCCCCTTCTCTGCCCAGATCTGGCCGCCCGTGCAGATTGCAAACTTCTACTTCGTGCCCCTGCAGCACAGGTAGTGTTGTGGCTCTGGCCCCTAGCCCCTGGCCTCCTGACCGGTGGCTGAGGACCCTGTCCCCTCTGTCCCCAGGCTGGCTGTTGTCCAGTGCGTCGCCATCATCTGGAACTGCTACCTCTCCTGGAAAGCAAATCAGATGTGAGGCAGAAGCCATGTCCCACCCCTGTCCCCAGCCTATGTGCTGCCTCACCCTGCTGCACCTCTGGAGCCCTTTGAGTGGGTGCCTGTGGCTGTGGCCAGGCTGAAACAGGCAGGGTGCTGGCAGCAGCTGTCCCGCTCTGTCCTTGGGGAGACACCATCACCACAGCCCCCACTGCCCCAGGGACACACTGGGGAGAAGATGGTGCCAGGTCACCCCAAGACAGACCTGGAGTGGCTCAGGCTCCATTTCCAGAGGCCTGGAGTGGCTCTGGCTCCAGCTCCGGCTCCAGCTCTGACTGTACCGGGTGGCAGGCAGCTCTGTCTGCAATGTGTTTCTCCATCATGCTCAATAATCTCCTGGCCCCTGCCTGCACAGAGTCCTTGTGCCCCATGCATCACTCTGCCCTTCCCCATGGTGCAGCCCTGGAGGAAGGAGGAGTGGGAGTACCACTGGGCCAGGGCTGGCCCTGAGCTGGCAGTACCATGGGCACAGAGCTGGGGTCACTGCAGTCTGGGGGTGCTTCCCCTGAAAACGGGGTTTGCTGTGGCTCCAATAAATGGTATTTTCCACTCTTGATTCTGTGGCACTCACGCTCGTGACCTGGCAATCGCTCCAGGCCATGCCAAAGCAGTTCCAGAGCAGCCATTCCTGTGTTATAGATCGGCAGCTCCACTGTGCCTTGTCCCAGGGCACTGAGTGTGGGGCTTTGGACTGCAGGCTGATGGGGTGAGCTGCCCCACTGACTGGGTGAGGAGAGGGGGCTCTAGCAGAGGGTGTATTGTGGCTTAGGGGACCTCCAGGTCCCACTGCAGCTGTTCCATGGGCTGTGACAGTACCCTCACTGCTACAGAACAGTGGGATGAGGTGAATGGTACCAGGGTTCCAGTGCTGGGTGCAGAGTCCCTCCAGGGTCAGGGTGTGCTCAGTGCAGGGCTGTGCATCCAGGGAGGCTGTGGGAAGGGTGGGGAGTAGGGCTGAAGCTGGGTCTGGGACAGCGCCCAGCTCAGTCACATGTCTGAGACAAACCTGCGTGTCCTGTCAGTGAGGAGCCCCACAGGGCTGCCACCACCAGCACTGCTGCCCTGTGTGGATGTGTGTCCGTGCTCACCCTGCACCAGCAGTGAGCAGACATGACCCAGCTCACGCAGCACATCCCAACCAGGAGCTCCGAGTGGAGCTGGTGAGACCACGACAGTTCACATCACCCCTGCAGGGCCTTGAGCCCCAGCCCCCTTGGTTGCACTGTGGCAGCCCCAGGCAGCTGGATGGAGCCATCCCCTGGTTGCTGGCACTGACTGGGTTCTGTGGGCTGCCGGCATGGCCCTTATGGAGAGGATGCACCATCTGTCCTTCCTCCCTCACCTTCACACTCCTGCCCTGGGCTGGCCCTGCACCAAGCCAGGCTTTGGGGCTACTCTAGGCAGGTGAGTACAACCTGAAGCATGGAGGAGCCGAATTCTGCTCAGGACCCTGTGCACCCATTTGGGGATGGGGCCACAGAGCCCACCCAGCTGCTGGCCCTTTCCTGAGGGGTGAGGGATGGAAAGGGTTTGTTGCAGCTGCCCCCAGCAGCACTCGGTAGAGCAGCACAGGGCTGGGACCAGGAGATTTTGCAACCCCGAGGAACTGAGTCTCTTGCAGCTCTGTCTGGGGGTACAGGAGGCTCTGGGGTGTCAGCAGTAAGTGAGCTGCAAGCATGGCATGAGCCACGTGGCATGAGCCACTTATCCCCAGGAGTAGCTGCCCCACGGCATGGGGCTGCCAAGGCTTGGGGGGCTGAGCCCAGTCCCTGCTGAGGGCTCTGCCCTGCCGCTGTGGGAAGCGGTGCCGGGTGCCAGCCTTCACGCCAGATCACGTCACGGGGGCATGGCACTGTATGCTGCCTTGCTGCGGACAGGGTTGTGCCCCACTGCCCCTGTGCCACCTGGTGTCAGACACACCGTGCAAGGGGCCAGACTGAGCCTCTGTCCCTAGATCTGCCCAACACTGGCACTGTGGAAGGAGCCAATCTGGGCCTAGCTGGGCACCTGCACTGGCGTCGGTTCTGGGTGTTGCTTGTCTGCAGTTGGGGTTCGGGGATCTGCTCTCGGGGGTCTGCTGGCAGTGGTGTGGTGCACTCGGGGGTCTGCCAGCAGCAGTGAGAAGCACTCGGTGGTCTGCCAGCAGTGTGTGGTGCACTCAGGGGGCCTGCCAGCAGTGATGTGAAGCACTAGCAGCCACCTCACCGTTTGGCAGCGGTGCTGGTGCCCCATCGGAACACCCTGCATCCAGCACGGCGCTGCCGACTCCGGTGTCTCTGCTCTATGACTCACAGAACTTGGCCGATGCTGCCGCTGTGCTTTGGGGTGTCTGCAGCTCCGGCCCCGCGGTTTGACCTCGGCAGCACCCACTCTTCCCCAGGGCACGGGGCCACAGCCAGGCGGGGGGTCCCTCATCCATGACCGTCCTGTCCTGGAGTTGCTGGTGCCCGGGGTTGCTGGTCCCCTCACACCCAGGGATCCCCCTGCAGCCGCCCACGTTCCCTGCTCAGGACGCCGCTGTTTGAGGCTGCTGCTGTGCCCGGCTACGCGGCCGTCCTTCGGCGAGGAGGCGCGGCTCAGCCCAATACAGCTCACCGGCAGTTCACCGGTACAGCTCACCGGGAACTCACCGGTACAGCTCACCGGGAGCTCACCGGTTCAGATGACCGGCACATCTCAACGGCCCAGCCCGGCCGTTCAGCACCGTGGACAGCGGCGGAGAAGGGGGCTGCGGGGGGCGCAGAGCCGGGAGTGAGGGAACAGGGGCGCCGGGGGAGCGGGGGGCAGCGCGACCCAAGGCACCTGCTGGCACCGGCCGCTGCCCCACCGAGCCCCTCTGTCGGGCACCGGAACGGAACCGGACCGGCGACCTCCGACACCGCGGAGAGCACGGTCTGCCCCGCCGTCCCGCTGCCCCACAGCCCCTTCCTGCCGCCAGGGACCCGCTCCCCGCCGCCCCCGTGCCCCCGCTCCCGCCCCCGCCGCCCGGTGCGTGCCCGGCGCTGACGTCAGCCCGGGCTCCGGGGCCGATATAACCCCCGGCCGCGCCGCCGGCTCAGCTCCCGCGGGACGGACCGTGCTCTCTCCGCCGCCAGCACCGGCAGCAACAGGGAACGGGCACAGCGCACCGGGTACGGGCCGGGGCTTGGGCACCGGGCGGGGACAGCGCCGGGCCGGGGTCGGGAAGGCGCAGCGGGGATGGGACGGGGCGGCCGGGCGGGATGGGGGCACCGCGCCCGAGGCGGTCCCCGCACCGCCGGGGACGCGATTCCCGTCGAGCCCCCACAGCCGCCTCGGTCTCTACTGTGACACTGAGTCCCCGGACTCACAGGTTCGGAGGGACCGAGGATGCTACGGGCGCTGCTCACCCTCCTGCTGCTGCTCGCCCGCCCGCCGCCCGTCGCCGCCCTTCCCGCCACCACCGACGGCTCCGTCCCGGCGGCCGGGCTCGGGGCTCGGGGCCGCCCTCTCTGGCCGCCGCTGGCATCGCCGGCCTTGGGGCCGTGGAGAGGGCGGCGGGACGAGCCGCCACTTTCCATCGACCTCACCTTCCACCTCCTGCGGCATCTCCTGCTCCTCGCCCGCGCCCAGAGCCAGCGCGCCCGCGCCGACTCCAACCGCCGCATCCTCGACGCCGTGGGGCGCTGACCCTCCCTCCGGGACCGCCGGACCCCCCGGGAACCCCCGTAACCCCGGGTCTGCACCGGCCTCTGGCCACCGCCTCGGCCTCTGCGCTGTGGGGCGCCCGGCGCCTCACCGGCAAACCACCCACACCGGCACCGGCTGCACCCTCCTCAGCCCCGGCGCTGGGGCGAGTGGGAGCAGAACCGGCCCCGGGACGGTCCTGCACCGATTTGGTAATAAAACGTGGTGGAAACCCGAGGCGTGAGCAAGTGCGAGGTGGGGGCAGCTGGGGCTGTGCTGGGCCAGGGGCTGGACAACGGGGAACGGGCTCACTGGGAATGGGAAATGGGTTCACCAGGTATGGGGAATGGACTCACAAAGGGTGGGGAATGGGCTCACTGCGAACAGGTAATGGGGGAATAGGTTCACCGGGAATGAGGAAGAGGCTCACCAGGAATGGGAAATGGGCTCACCAGGAATGGGGAAACAGACTCATTTGAAGTGGGGGAATGAGTTCACCAGGAATGGGGGAACAGGCTCAGTGGGAATGGGTAATAGGCTCACTGTGAATGGAGAAAGGGCTCACCAGGAACAGGGAACAGGATAAGCTGGGCTGGGACTGGGTGGCAGCACAAACCCACCAGCACTGGGGATGGGGCTGCGTGTGTTCCCGGGTCAGGGCGTGACACACTGTGGTCTCTGGGGAGAGAAGATGCTCCCAGACCCTTAGGTGTGATAGCAGTGTGAAGCAGAGGGCACAGAGTGATGGGAACAGCGGGTCCTCATCACCAGTGAGCTGGGCACAGTGGGTACACCCACCTGTGGGCTGGTAAGGATGTGAGTGGGTGAAGCAGCCCCTCCCTGGGGTGGCTGGTGGGGCTGGGGGAGGGACAGACACAGGCCGTTCTTGGGGGCACATGGCCACCCCTTCAGGAGCATCGGGGTGGGGGGCACCTCTGTGGGACACATGGTCCAGCTGAGTGGGTCAAGACTGGAGCCACGGGCAGGGAGGGGGATACTGTGGTGGGCTGTGTTTCAGGCCCCCAGCCAAGAGGACAGGGATGAATGAAGCCTTATGAGACAGCTGGGGGAGGTTCAGCCTCCCTGTGGGTGGCCCTGGTCCTCACGGGGGCCTCCAGCCCTGTCTGTGGAAGCTGTCCCTGCCTGTGGTAGGGGGTGGGACTGGGTGGTCCATTCCCACCAGCTGAAAATTCTGTGGTAACATCCCAGTGTGTGCTGGAGGCGCAATGTGTCAGGGCTGGAGCAGGGAGGGGTGTTTTTAAGAGGGGTGCCTCAGAAGGAGTGCATGGAAATGTAATGGCAGTGGAGGTCAGTGCCCAGGGCAGGCAGGAGAGCAGGCAGGGGGTGCAGCCCCTGGATTTTGAGTGAGCCGCTTTCAGTGACCAGATGGCTCTGGTAGGAGGCAGCTTCAAGGGATGAGGGAGCTGAGGAATGCTGGGAGGCCTTTGGGAATGAACTTGAGGCTTGGCTGAGGCTGAAAGGGACCTGGGAAGATCCCCCACTCTGGCTGCTTGTGCTGTGTCCATTGGGGCTTGAAAGGGTAAATCAAATTTCACCATGGCATGAGGACCCTGGTGCTGGAAGGCCATGCAAAAAAGATTGTACTGGGACAATTCCTCCTTGGAGATATTCATACTGGATGGGACACTGACCTGGACACTCCACTTCAGCCAACCCTGATGGGCTGGGTATGGGAGGGCTCTAGGGGCCTCTTACCCGTCACACAGCCATTGGCAGCTTCCCAGGTGGTGGAGCCACAATGCCTCTGGGCAGCCTATTCCAGATAACCTGTGTGATCTGCTTCACTGCAAAAATACCCCAAACCTTGGGAGGCCAGTTTGTGCCAGTTGCCTCTGGTCCTGTCATGGGGATCCACTGGGAAGAGCCCGGTTCCCTCTTTCTTCCCTCCCATCAGGCAAGTATATACATGGATTCAATCCCCTAAACTATCCCAGTCCCTTCTTTAGCAGCAGATGCTCCAGTCCCTTTGGCATCACTGGGACCCTTCCCTGGGCTGCAGAGGTCACATCCTCCTCACCCCGGGAAGCCCCAGCCTGGCCAGATGCTGCATCCACTGCCCCTCCTTCTTTGTGGACCCGCCCACCCAGGGAGCTGTGGCTCACCTGGATTTCTGGGAAAGGATGCCACTGCCACCTCCCCAGCTCAGTGCCACCATGGAGGATTTTACTGTCCTTCGTGTCCCTCAGTAGCTGCAGCCCGACAGCTGTGACTGAGCAATAACACCATGAACCTCGTAGGCTTGGCTAATCTTCCCTTTTAAGAAAAAAGGAAGACCACTCCAGGAGGAATGGGCTGCCTGGATGAGAAGCACCAGGAGTGTTGGCAGCAGGACTGGGCAGCACCTGGGGAAAAGGTAATTCCAGCAGAGGAGGGTCACAACCACTGACTCATTGACCACCTACTCAGAACAGAGCCCAGCTCAAACAGAGGGAAGAGCTGCTCCTGCGGAGGGATCAGTGTGGGAAGGGAGAGACACCCAGCAAAGAGGGGCTTGAGTGCTAATCAATAAAAGAGTTCTGTAATCTGTAACCAATGAATGCCGGTGCCTTTGTTTGCTCAAATGTGTGAATAGTGTAAAGTTCTGATGCTTGGTGAGCAGGGAATGACCTGGGGGAAAGCCCCTGTCTCTGTGCTGACTGGAATAAAGGCAGAAATCCCTCACCTCGGAGTGGGAACTGGTGCTGTGAACCAACCCTATGGCTGGAAATTTCACGTGACCAGCCCCGACTCTGGGACAGCCAGCAACTCAGCGGCACAACACATTTCACAGGGATTTCCTTGGTGAGGGGCGTGGTTGAAAATTGCCAATCAGCAAGATTTTGGGTTTGTGCTCTGCATAAGCTGCAGAAGCAGAAATTTCGCCTCTGCGCTTTGGTGACACATGTACTGGATTTTTGGTATTTGCACATGTTTTTACACTTAGAGCTGGTGATGTAGAAACTGGGGTTAGAAGTGTGTGCACTGGGATAGTGTATGAAACACTGGAAATTTCTGAACTGAAATGGCTTCCTCTGATTCTTTGAAATTTCCTCTTTGCTCTCCTCTTGGACACATCCCGAAGAACTGGATAAATCTGGGGGTGATCCTAAGACTCAAGATAAGTTGAAAAGATGCTCTAATCAGTGGTGGCCTCAATATAAATTAGATGATGGTGAAAAATGTCTGGAAAACAGGTCTTTGAGATATAATATGATTTTACAGATGTTATTTTGTAGGAGGCAAAACAAATGGGATGAAGTCCCTGATGTAGATTTGCTTTTCACTTTAAGAAATAATTATTTAAGTAAGGAAAAAATGTGGTTTAGAAGATTCAAAGTATCAAAATAAAATATATTTTTTGGTTAATGAAACCAGAAAAAAGGGTAAGGGGAAAGATACTCATTGTATGAGACGAGAAGATAAAAACAGATGAAAACTCTTAAGTTTCATTATTGGCAGCTCCTCGGACATGAGGATCAAAGCTGGAGATGGGCAGTGAATCTGGCAATGAAAGAGTTGATTTTGATGCAACACCTGTTTTCTGGAGGACCAGAGAGAGAAGCTGGTATTACAAGCACCTTTAAGGCAGCACCTTCAAGGCAGCACCTTCAGCTGGACCTGAAGGAGGAGGCAGTGGATGTGCAAGTGCAGGTCATGCTTCAGACAAGCAGTGAGCAGGGACATACCACAGGAATCCTGAACGAATGTGCAGTGTGATTAAAACCATGATGTCAATTTGTGATCCAAACTGAGGGCATACCCAGGCTCTTCTAAAATATTTGTCTCCCCATGAGGAATGGAGGGCAGTTTAGAAAAGGCTTGGGAAGGAGGAGTTAGGAAATAGAAGGATTAGATCAGAAGGTTCAGGGCATTCCAAATCCTGAGTAATTTCTCCCTAATTAATCCCACTCCCAGAGTGGGATCCCAATCAGACTACTGGTGAAATTCACTAAAATTGTATCAGGAGCCGATTTAATTGTGAATCCAGAAGGGAGTGAAGAAACCAAAACACCTTGGCACGTTGTATAAAGGGAAGCAGGGAGCAAAGGAGTCTCCATGGGCTTTTTATGAAAGATTGTGTGAAGCAGCTCCCACATGGATGGACTCAGATCCAGCAAGGGAGGGAAACAGGATGCTATTTAACAGGTTTTTTCTTGAGCAGTTCATACCAGGTATTAGAAAGAAATCTGGGAAGAGAGAAGGAGCACTGAAGGCTGTTGTTTCCCAAGTGATGTCTGTAATGATAGGGAAGAGAGAGAAGAGCTGAATGAGATTCCCAAATCCATTGTCAGCTGCCCCAGTCGATGTGCAGGGACAAGGAGGAGGTGGGTGACATGGATTTTGGGGGCAAGTGTGGGGATTAACACCCCTCCAAAAGGATCAGGGTGCCTGTTGCAAACAGGAGGGACAGTTGGAAAAGGAGTGTCCTGAATTGCAAAGGGACAGAAGGGAGAATCGGAAGAGATGGGACTTATGGCAGAAACTGGTCTGGACTGAAGGGGACTGGAGGCATCTCTTATCATTTCCCTGGCCAATCCTTCGGTTCCAGGTAAACTGGGGAATGAAATGCTGGATTTTCTAGTGGATACTGGAGCAGCTCGTTCTGTAGTTACAGAATGAGGGACCTTTAGTAAAACCAAAGTCACTGTTGTCAGTGGGACAGAGAGGAATTTCTTTGGGGGCAAGAAACCCCTCAGACCATTTTACAACACATGAAATTCATGGCTGGGAACACAAAATGAACACATCACTTTCTCCACACGCCAGAGTATCCCTCATCATTGCTCAGGCAGGATTTGTTATGCCAGTTAAGCAGTTCTTTAGTGATGGAAGCAGTGACACATTGAACGGACAGCAGAAAGCTGGTCACGCTGTGGACACTGCCAAGAGGGACTGGGAAACAACCCAGCAACACCTCTGCCAGAGAGCTGTGCTGTGAGCCCTCACCCAGTCCCTGGAACTGAGCTGAGGAAAGAAAGTCAATATTTACACTGACTCAAAAT